AGAGAAATCAGGAATCATGATGTCATGAAAGATCAACAAATACCAGCATCAGTGCAGAGAGCAATTTTCAAACCACTGAACCACAAATGGGTGCCACTCTTCCAAAGCCATTTTTTTTTTTGCCAAATTCAAAAGTAATTTTTATTAATTTGTTTTGGCAAATTTCCGCAATAGACAACAGACTGCCTCTACCTGCCTGGTACTGTCAGACCAGGTTTGACTTTTCTGAGCAATGACAGGAGGGCTGCTTTATTATAGAGGTGAATGTTCATTCAGATTTAACAACTATAAGTTACATAGTGTGAACTATATATATATTTAAAAAAAAAGAGTTGTTCCAAAACTGCATTTTAAAAGTTAAACTTTCCTTAAACCTCGTTTTATATATTATCATAAAATGTTTTCTTTGTTTAACAGCCTACATATTCTGACATTAGTGGGAAATTATAAATATTTTAACAGGAAATTGTTATTAATAAGCTATAAAACATGTGTAACGAGAGAGAAAATCGGAAAATGAGGAGTCATGTGAGGAAGGAGCAATATTTCCACTTCTGTTAGGCCTAGGAAACCCCTTCCATCATTCAAAGTGCTCTCTCTTCATATTGTTTATTCCCAATCAAAGACGAGACTTGTAGAATTATGTCAACTGTTAACGATTAAAGGTATAGCGGATTACATCCATCTAATATATAAAATGTAATTCCACACAATTTAAAAGCATGTCTTACCTTTGCTCCATAACGCTGGACTTCAAAAAAGTCCAAAGTTCAACTGTCCACTTATCTTTTCTTACGCTAACCGCAGACCTGTAACGTTACAAAATGGCGATGAAACGTCTTCTGAGTGGAGCAGAAACGGTGACGTCTGAATAACCGAGTGAGAGAAATACTAGAAGTTTAAAGTGTTGCGAGCAGAGCGCCGCAGACTTTTCTCGTTCTGTCCGTCTCCACACAAAGCTCCGCTCCAGCGTGCTGCTTTCCAGCCCCACACGTGCTGCCTTAAAGTGCTCCCGGAAATATGGAAATTACCGGCTCTTTCTAAGCTCCCACATCCAAGCTCAGAGGTTGCTGCATTTTAGTGCTACTATCCAGATATAATTACTAAATGTGTTACGTAACAAAACAGCCATGTTAGATGAAGCCGAGCTACTTGGTGAGTCAGTATAACAAGAACAATGGCTTTAAGAATGTTACCGATGGTTTTGTATATACAAATCACTATTGGCCATCAGTTGCTCTCATAGCGTTCTCACTCTCTTCCCTTAAGCACACCAAACCTTTGCCTCCCAGTCATTTTCACATTGCTGATTGTCACATGTGCTCGATTCTAATGTTACGGACAGCATCTGAAGGCAGCACGGGAGTCAGGCAGCCAAGAGGTGAGCTGGTGGTTTACACAGTGGAAAATACTCACTGCACACATGCTCCCTGATTTTATTCTCTGTCAAACCTTCCATATTGAATAACTGCTTAATTTGTAAATACATACTTATGTGAATATACTAAGTGTATAATTTTAGGCCTGTAGTCAAGGTTCAAATAGCGTTGTTACAAACCCTTGAGACTGAATCAGGTTGAGTTGAGAAACTAAGTTGTTTCAATATTTCCTATTATTTATTATTATTATTATTATTCTCCTTTATTTTCTTCCCCTCTCCCAGACCTAATCTCCCATACGTTGCCAGGTTTACAGCTGCAACATCCCCAAAGATGGACAAAGTTTAACACATTCAAAAAACTCACGGAGCTCCAACTGGTCTGGTTTCAGGTGGGTAGACAGACCATCAAACTCTTGTACACTGCCGACTGTCAGAATAATTCAGTCTGACGTAAACTTGAAGATGGCCTTGCCTTGACTTTAAATCAGCTCTCCCCTCTGAGGGGCCCCTGGCCTCCCTGAAAGCATTATCTTATTAATTCCTTAACTAGCTTAGACCCTAAGCAGACATGGTGAGTCAAAATAAAGTCCAACTAATTTGTTGTTGGTCCAGAATCACAAGACTGCAGTCAGACTTTTCCACTGCATGCCATGCATTTGTGTAAGTTCAACAAAGACAAACATTTCTTTGGGCTGATCCTCAACTTTCTTTTTGCATTTAGGTTCTGATATTTTCCATCTTCAGTGGTGGAAAGCAACTAAGTACACTTTTACTCTAGCACTTTACTTTGGAGTATGGGGTATTTCAATTTTATTTATATTTTATTTCCTCAATTTAACTACAATTCAGAGGGAAATATTGTATTTTTTATTCCACTACATTTATTTGATATCGATAATACTAGCTGCTTTTCAGATTAAGATGGTGAGCGGATAAAACAAACCATGTTGGGTTGTTTTCGGCTTGTGACCCTTTTTGGCAGTGTGTAGTTTAGGCTCCTTGTCATTTTCATATGCATCTGGGTTGTTAGCAGTTCCACCAAAGAGACATTCCCCCTCTTAACTAGTCAGATGGTTTCATTTGAATAGTTGTTTGAGGCCCAAAGAAAAAAAAATCTGATATTTTACTTAAAAACAAAGATTCAAAGCCAAATAACAAAATTCTGTAATAGAACTTGTGACCCTTTGGAGGGGCCTGACCCCAAGGTGGGTAACCTCTGGGGAAAATCTCTGAGAAAGTCAAACTAAGTTCAGCTCAAACAAGTTCTGTGCAGCACGAATCACAGTCATATTGTATGTCTCCTGTACGCTATCACTAACAGACCAAAAATACTTGAAATGGTAACTTCCGAACATACAGAGGGAACCAGTTTTCTCTGGACAAATCATGTGGAGGAGCTGTAACAGGCATGATGCTAAATAAAAAAGATACAGTTTAGAGTTTAATTCATTTGTCCACTTTGAATACTGCTTTTTACTTTAATATGTCAGTCACGATACCTTTAAAATAAAATCCCATGAATTCAACATTTGTGGCGCTGAAGAATATTAGCAAAGTGCTGAAAAACACCACTCACCTAAACAGGAAGTAGTGTGCTGCTGCCCTGATGTCATATCGCATATAACAGGACGAGATGATTAAGTATCATACAGCTGCTATTTTGCATGGATCTGAATGGCTTATTTCATTCCTGGGATGTGGGAAAAACGGGGCAGCTGCATGCCAAGTTCGATGTACAGGAGCAGAACAGCATGCTGTCCGCAACATAAACATGGCTGTAAATTAGAATTCCTACCTGCTGGTTAAATGCCTATGTAAGCTTTAAAGCTTTGCAACAACACAGTACATAATCATTTGTTTTTGTAATGACACCAACGCGACAGATCACAATAATGATGCAATACAACTCTGTAATGCAACTACAGATGTTCACGTATCGCTGAAGTCTACTGAAGAAAGCAGAGATGTGAAAATCATCTTTCTGCTTTACACACTCACTTTTACAGTTTACAACACAGCCTGAGCTGTTAGTATGTAATCAAAAGCAGCCTCCTCCAAACAAAGGTGTGGTCTACAGGACAACAACACTGAAGCTACAGAGCAACACGTTACATGGGGGACATTGCATAGTTTCACAGCCTAGTACTGGATCACCAGGAAATGATCTGAGATCCTCTGGAACAGGAGGACAAACCTTAGTCTGTCTCACACATTCTCTCCCCATTTCCCTTCCTCTCTCCTTCACATAACCAGCTGTCTTGGCTCATGTATGCTCACAGCTGCCCAAATCACTGGTCCCCAGACATGACCAAGGCCTACACTGAAGAGGGGAATGGGGGCTCTACATCTGGGTCAGTAACTGGTTGGTCTTTTGGGCTGTCTGGGGAGGAAAGAAGCTCCGTCATTATTTACCCAAAGCTCACTTTTCTTCACATTGATGTCAACAAAAGAGCCTTTAACTGAAGAGAGCAGTCTCTGTTCTTCACTGCAACACAAGCACATGGACTCAAGGACTAATAACTCCTGGGTTCTATGTCTCGATTTTAACTGGAGCAAGGCAGCATGTTAACAATTTCCATGGTTTTACTGGGGAACAGCAAAGGTTAGTGGTGAGCAAAGTGGATCTAGGCAGAGCAAGCATATTTTTCCAATACTGTGTGGCTCCCTGCAGGAATGTGCTCTTTCAGTCACCATGGAGAGGGAGACAGAGATTCTTACTGTTGCAGGACAAAGCTTAACGCTCAATGGATGGGTTTACAGGCCCCCTCATTGTAAAAGGATTAAATAAATCAAGGCCAGTCGAGACCTAGCACCACGGCATCCCTGCCGTGGCCTTTCAGCTTCGACCAAACAGAAACACACAAACACAGCTGGCCCCCGTCCAGACACAGGGTACATTCAGCAGCATTGAGAACTGCTGTAGTAACCTGGCTCACCCCTGAACTCATTTGCATACACCTTGAGGGGCGAAAACAGTAAAAGAACAGGGGGGTGGAGGGATCCCATTGTTCTCTTTTGAGAGCAACATTTGAAAAGTGGGGTTGTATTGTTACACCACTACATCTAATCCCAAAACGTTATTCCTTTTACATACAGATTCTGTGAAAAATTTACATTCATTCTCAGAAAACCTGAAACACATCCAAAATACAGCAGGATGATAAGAAGAATCTCACATTGCAGAAGGAATCTGCAGGAATTTAAGTAACAAACTTAAAGGCAAATATGACCATTTATTTTATGAGCATATAGCAATTTAATTGTAAGAAAGTTCACACAAACACACACACACTGGAAAAGACACCACATTACTGTGCTATATATGCTCTACTATTACTGCACAACCAGATGTGTCTAAAGGCTAGAGATAATGGACAAGTGTGTTAAAGGTCACAGACAGGATAGTTTATTACATTGTGAAAGGGTTTCCTCTGGTAATGCAACACCAAAAACATTTTCCTGTGTGAAGATTGAAGCTAAATCCCCAGTTTGAAGCGATTGTGACAGGTAAACAGAGTAGTGGTATTAGAGTCACACTGCGCAAACACATCACTCGGGTTGTGGAGTTAGGTTTTGGTTAGGGGATGGCGGTGCGGCACACCAAAGGATTTTTGTCTACCTGAACTTAGGCTGTAGTGGTTTAGCGGGTCGGCCACCCATGCACTGTCCTGTATTACACTCTCCATCTCCAAGTCTGCATGCAGCCCGATGGACAGATGGACCAACAGAGAGATGGATGGATGGATGGATGATGGAGAGATGAGAGAGTCAGCAGAGGGAGAGAAGCACTTCAAGTTAGAGAACAGAGCAACTGTGTACTTTGGGAGTGTGAGGTCAGTAGTTTTGCATAGAAATGATACTTTGATGGTAAAGCAATAAACTGTTTTGTCAGACAGATAAAAAGTTTAATAATGAATTCAAATAAAGAAACTTTGTATTCATCAATAAAACAAGTCTTATATGAGAGAACTGAAATTCAACTTTAAAATTATAATCCTTAATAATTTCATGAAGTCAAATTTAGTTTTTGATAGTATTAAGGGTTGGCATTTATTAAGCGATTCAGTTAGTGTATTTACATTCTGTAATTACACTTTTTATTGTAGGTAAGATTCAATTTGCGTGAGCTGTATTTAGTTACCGCTAAAGCTAACCCACCATTTCCTGCTGCTGCTAGTTCCCATTAAAATTATTCAACTGGTGAAACACGTGTTGGCTTTTATTGTCAAGCAGTCACAAAAGTCAAAAGAGTCAAAATGCATCTACAAAACAAGACAATAGTCATTTAAAAAAATATATATTTAAGGGGCTAATGGAACAGCCTGGACTGTTAGATAAAGAGCTGCACATTTCCAACTTCTCAGTTAGGTAACCAATTCTATTTACCATTTCCTGATGTTGTGGGGAAAACTTACTCGAACTGTGTGCAGCATGAAAGCCATGGAGGTTACTCACAACATGATGGAAAAAGCCAATATTGACTGAATTCTTTGTTAAAACCATGTAAGTTTGTTTGGCTGTGTGTAAACAGATACACCAGTTTACACATCTGTTGTATTACTGACAAATTAACTGCTCAAGAAGTGTTTCCTGCCCCCAGAGTCGTGGAACATGAACTATCAAACAGCATTTGCTGGTATTAGCTGTGACCATGGCCACTGTCAAATTAACCAGGACTGAAATCGTAAGGATTATAACTTTAACCACATCTAAACTCTAATGAACAAAATGCCATACAAGTCCAAATGTGCAAATGCATTTTGTGTGTGAGCAGGTTAAGGTGGAGTGAGTGGGCAGGTGGATGAAGTGTGTATACCAACACGCACAGGGAGGGAAGAGACTCCAAGAAGCAGGCTGCAGGCCAGAGCAGGGGGAGGCTGAGGCAGAGGAGTCACAGTCAAATGCAACAAATCAAGACACATGCTAATAGTAATGCACAGCTGTGCTGTGAGACATCAACAGCATTAATGATGCAGTGGAGAACAAGCAGTGCAGTTTTTACACATAAACAGGCAGCTTAAACGCAATTACATTTAGTTATTTGTTCTGCCACTGATAATGAGCTTGATCCAGGATCTGCTCCTTTAGAGTCATGTTAATATGACAACAGGGCATTTGCAGGTTTTAGAAAACCAAATATTAGACTTTACTTATTACTATGTAGTATCTATAGTACTATATAGATCTATAGTAATATAGACCAAGATTCAAGAAAATCTTCTAACTTTATTCAGGATATCTAAATCACATACTTGACATGTGGATACTCTGTAAAGGAAAAAATGCATGACTGACAAATAAGGACCCATGCATAAAACAAACAAAACAGCAACAAGCAGTAAAACATTGCTCACATGTAGCTGTGAGGGGAATGGGCAGACAGATTAAGTCATGAACTGTAGAGTGTGCTGTGCGTGCACTGCAAAGTTAACTCTCCACCGCAATGTGCACTTCTGATCAGTCACAAGGTCAAAGGCTCAAAAACGTGGGTTTGGAACTTGATTGGCACATCAGAAAACATTGGCGTCCAGCACCCGAAAGCCTGCGCCTGTAATTATATCCCCTCCCTCACAATTATGGATCGTATAAGATTGGTGTTTTGCTTTTTTGCTGTGTCATCCGTTAATCCAGACCCCGGAGTCTCAGAGGCTTTTCGATGGTTAGGAACCCCGGCTCCACTCGCCCATCCCAAAAGCCAGCCAGATGGTTGTGAATGTGAGTCATATTGGTTGAATGAGTCGTTGGATTTGGAAGATGTGACGTGGACTCGTACGAGACATTGAGGTCTGATCAAAAGGGCTCAGTCATATCAACAAAATGTGAGCTGCTATTTCTGTTGGGTGCTTCAGTGTGTGAAGAAGTGAGGGCAAAGTTCAAGTTAAGTTCAACTATGAATGGCAGGCACCAACCGGTGTTAAGTGTTCTCTTTGACTGCAATAGGGTTATACATTTGTCTCTGACACTCTCAGGAGCGTGCTAAAGAGCTTATCTATTTGCTCTGGACAGCAATAGATTAGCAAAATATTTGCTTTGGATTTGTATAGCTGAATCAATATAACATGATTAGCGGGCTATGTAAGGAGATGACGTGTCAGAATGATGAGTTTCCTTTCACTGCAACATGATCAAAGGGAGGTTATATTATTTTTATACTGATGATTATTCTACTTCAGTTCTATGAAAACATGTGAAGACCTCTAACAAAGCTCTGTATATTCATCTTCATTGGCAGGCAATATCTACACCTCCACTGCATTTCAGTCATTAAAAATAAAATATACAAAAAATAGTAAAGATATTATAATACTTATAATCCACAATAGAGCTCTTGTTGTTTAAACTAAATCAATTCCATGGCATACCAAGTCTGTCAGACCAGCAATAATATGTGTGGGCAAGGTGTGACGCGCGCACACACACACACACACACACACACACACACACACACACACACACACACACACACACACACACCCAGAGCCACAACATCCACCACAGACCTAACCACTTCCTGAAAATGTAGTCATATCAGTGAGACATTAACTGCCATCAGTGAAGGGTTTAAAAGGAGGAGGAGGAGGAGGAGGAGGAGTACCTGGTTTTGGTACCGTGTTGGTCATGGACTGCGGCACTTTATCATTTATGAGTTCCACACACTCGCTGGGAAAGAAGCCGACCTGGAGAGAGCACAGCAATGAGACAGGCAGGGTGAGGTGGGAGGAAGTCCAATCAGATTTAGATAAAATAATGCAGACAGAGAGAGACAACACAGTATCTATACTGAGGTGTGGTTGTCACATTAATGAAATGGGTCTGGCATTAGAAGCACTGTGACACACGTGGCATTTTGGACTTGGTTTGGACATCTATTGATCAGGTGATGAGGAAATGACCACATCGCACATAAGGTACATATAAAGAGTATCTGTGTACCTGCTGCTCTCGTGAACTCTGGGACAACTTTTAAAGAGTGATTAAAAACCTGAACTTAAACTTTACATTGTCTAAAACTGCCAGATGCAGTCCAAGTGGCAAATGGCACAAACCCACACAACTTGTAACATCACTGACTGGCTGACTGACTACCCCCTAAAGGATACAGGTAGTACTTCAGGTGTTGCTCAGTAAGTTCCCCAACAAGTCCTGTTTGAGTTTCAGTCAGCCATTAGTATCCATCTAGTGTGAATATATAGTACACATATGTACACACACACTCAAACACACTGCAAACTGCATGATATTATCCTGCAGAATACCTATTCAACCTCTGTGACTATGTGTCCTCCTTTTATTTGCACAGTTCTCTCTTAAATGCATTTACATTGAGAGGGAAAAGGCGCACCTTGTCAATACTTCCTAAAATGACAAACTAACTGTGACTCCAGCCTGCTGTGCCAGTTTGTTAAATCCTCTTGTGAGAATGAGAAAAATGTGAAGAAAAGGACACTGGAAGCAACTGGTTGTGGTTCTTGGAGGGGGGGGGGGGCTTCATAAAAGCTGTTTGATTGCCTAAAAAATATACAAGCCATATAGTAACATGATTCACCTGTGTTTTAAGACTGATAATTGTTGACTGCTTAGCTCAGATTGCAAAAGTACAAGTTAAAGTAAGAAAGATGTTTTGTTTGATATACTGTTTTATATTTTAATGTGTCTCTGCAGTCTCTTGTGCGCTGACCTTTGCTTGGCCTCCGGAGACCAATCAGATTTCAGAATAGACAGTGATTTCCAGAAAAAATAAGAAGCGAAAGTCTGCTCTTGCTGGCCTCTCGACTCTTTAGATAAATAAAAAAAGATCTCCCTGAAGACACGTGTGTGTATCTCGCTCACATGCAGGGTGGCGTGATTTTCGAGGGGCCTTTTATTGTGGCCAGTCTAAGGCACACCTGTGCAATCCCCATGCTGTCTGATCAGCATCTTGATATGCCACACCTGTGAGGTGGATGGATAATCTCGGCAAAGGAGAAGTGCTCACTGACACAGATTTTGACAGATTTGTGAACAAGATTTGAGAGAAATAGGCCTTTTTTGTACATGGAGAAAGAATCTTAGATCTTTGAGTTCAGCTCATGATGAATGCGCGCAAAAACAAAAGCGTTTAGTATATTTTATATGTATCCTCTGATGATGTCTGAATGATTGTTTTGATCAGCAAAAAAGGCAATATTTGCTAATTTTATATCAACAGTTGTGAAGAGACAAGCATCTTCATTTTGTGACTATAGGAGCAGGGGAGGCCTTTCTCTTGTTTTGAAGTCAGAAAGAGATGAGGAGAAAAAATGCAGTCCTCTACATTTGCAGCTCTTCATTTGATTGGAGCCGGTCCGGTGATATAGTAGTGTGGCGCAAACGCAGGGGCTCCAGCAAAAAAAGTTAAAAGGGAGTAAACTTCTGCTGCTACGCAGCACGACATTATCACACGCTGTGTTGACCAATCACAGATGCAAGAGCACATTCGCACTAGTATCCTTTGTGACATGAAAAGTGTTTTTCTCGCTACTGACAAATAGTTACAGCTGTCAGTTTTAGAAACAGTTACAGTGTTTTGGTGTCTGACAATTCTTTAAATGCATTAATCTGTTACTCCTACTGGACTTCCTGGATTGTATTTGATTGTCTCAACGCTACCTTGAACAACATAACCCTACCAATGCAATGCTGTGTTGTTTTAACTGCTTTCTGTTTGCTTAGTGTTTTGTACATTTGTCTTGGTGTAGCCTATGCACACACGCATAGTGAGGACATACTGTCTTGCTCCTTTATTATTAATCTCCATTTCAAAATGAATGCTGTTTGGTTAATGTAGTTTTCTGATAGCCTCTGAAAAAATTATGCTCAAAAATCAAATTATGTGTTATTCATTATTTGAATTTACATATTCCCTCTTCATGTCAGTAAGAGGCAAAATTGAGAGTACTGTGAGCAGATAAAACGCTTAGACCACATAGTGGTGCTGACAGCTGAAACTGGGAGAACTAGATATGGTCGCCTGTAACAAATGTCCTGAACAGCACAGATTCAGTGTATTACAAGATTGCACTACAGACAGCGTAGGAATATGAATAAGTTCAGCATTACAGGGTGAGGTACACACCCTGTAATCTGCTCAAAAGCTTCACAATAGAGGATCTGTATCTTGCAACAAACTCAGAGTATTTGAAATCTGCCATCCAAAGCAATGTTCTCTCCTTGTCCTTGAAATACCTCAAATATAAATCAAATCAAAAGTTCAGAGTCAGAGGAAAGACAGAGAGACATAAAATGTGTTTGTGTATGGGGTTTTTCCCCAGCCTGCCAAGTGTTCTGTGAGCTGCATACCTGAAAGCCATGCTTGCCCCTCCACCATGTGGTGTCTTCTTTTGGGGGCATGTCAATCACTGACACAATGTCGCCAACCTGCAGAGAGCGACAGAGGGAGGAAAGAGAGAAGATTAAAGACATGTCTGATTGCCCCTTTACCTCTTGTCCATAGAACATTTCAATGATTACTAAAACTGAAGGCATTATATAGTGAGCGTGTGTTTCACCTCAAAGGACAGTTCGTCTGAGGCCTGGGCGATGTAACGCTTGATGACGTGGGCAGCAGCAATAGCTGGCACATTAATGGATGACTCTTCATGAACCAACAGATGATTTCCCTTATTGTCAACCTGGTACACACACACACACACACACACACACAAACAGTGTACATGTCATTTCAACAGTGGCAGCCATTGACTAACAAATGACGTTGGGAAATGATCCAGAAACATGACAATATAATAGTCTCCATAAAAAGCTATTTTGGTGAAGTGGTGAGGTAAACTCAGCTCATAGCAGCTTATTCAAATACTTTTGTGAAGAAAGAATGAGCAGCTGGGATGGCTAGAAATTGCTGCCAATACATACTACAAGACTGTAGTAATCCTACATCAATTCTATAGAGTATATCTATAGTATTCCTGTGGCTACAGAGACCTGTATTAATCTTTTATAGAAAAGTAGAACACTATAAGGCCCCAGGTCCTTGTCTTAGCATTGTTTTTGTATTTTCCTTATTTGTTGATGCAGTTATTTTTAAGGCATTTCTCTTTGTGTTTGCAACTAAAGCTCCAGCAATTTTGACAGCAACCTCTACCTCTAATTTCCTTATTCATAATATGCAGCGGTATAAATTAATTTCCTGAATGACCATTTCATGTGTGGTATAAAGCCATTGAAAGGCATAAATAATAATAAATAATAAATGATCTGAAGCAAAGCCTCAACCTTTTGGCAAAAAGGCTCTCTGACCCACTGTAAACATCTGTTTTTTTCTGCCAAAGAGTCAGTGTACTCCTTAAAGACAGATGACAGCCTTACCTCCATCCATGTGAGAGCGGGCCCACAGTTGATCTTGTTGTCAGCGATTGCTGAGAGCCGGGAGAGGTAAGCCAACAACATCTGGGAAACTGACTAACATGGAAGAAAACACACCATTTACAATAAATCTTTCCATTTATCCCAGATAGTACAATTTACCACTACGTACTACTGTACAATCCACTACTAACACACTCAATATTAAACTTAGCTGTTACAATGGATGTTAATAATTACAAGTAAAAGTCATCGCCTTCTTTTGTTGTGTTTTTGAGGGACAAAGGCAGCTAATTACGCAGCTAAAGAGTGTTGCATGGTAGTGAAATGACATTTGCAGCTATGACTTCATATGACTGCCCAAAATCTGACCATTTAAGCTAATGATAACACTACAGAGAAGATGGGGTAGGACGCAAGTTTCACCTCTGGTAGGGGAGTTCTTCTGTCGAAACCTGCAATTACGTCACTGTTAACTACTGGGACCTTTTGAATCTCATAAAAACAGCTACTGGTGAAAGTATAATAGTGTGCTGCAGGCAGCTTTGTAAAGCTATTACTCTGAAAGCATCCACACACACAATACCCCTCAGTGATGAACTGGTTTTACCAGTTTGGTTTGATACCTAACCTCTGTATTCCTTTTAAAGCCTCAATCGGACCATAAAGGTTTCACCTGACTCAATACTATCCACAGGCGGGCTGAACGGGGAATAACTGGCAAAAAACCAAAGTGTGCATTCCCAAGACAAAACCCACGTCGTTCATATTGCATATCAAAGCACAGTAACTGGAGGAGGTTTTCTAGATAACTGATACCTTGTTATTTTGAATTTAAAAGTATATGGGCAGCAAATGCTATCATTCATTTAATTTAGGGGCTGACTGAGTACTGAATGGTTCAGTGAGAGCGTAAACAAAGCTGTGTGAGATCTAAGAAAAGCAAGGCTCCCCAAACCTAATACAAATAATCTATAATTAATCTAATAATGTATTAATTTTGCATGCTGTACATGAGAATATGATCATTAGTTAAGCCTTTTCATGTGGCCAGGATTACTTTCAAGTTTAAATGTGAGGAACATGGGATCTAAATCCAATATATCTCCTCCTCCACGTTTGTTTTCAGTGCTTACCTCTGACTGATCAGTCAGACTGTCCAATCGAGGCAGCTCAGGCAGCTGGGAGAAACGTCGATCATAGATACAGAGGTGCAGATGCTTGTCCAGGACACGGAAATCCTCATAGCTGCGTTTCACAATCCAACTTCGACCCTTCAGAACAACAACAAAAATACATGAGAATAAACAGCATGGAAACGGAGACAGAGATCACATTACCTGATTAAACAGCTACATGTGAGCAATGTTTCTATTTAACTGCAACTAGGCTTAAGTTGATATTCTTTTCACTAATTAACATGGGAAAATTAAATGATGTCTAATGCATACCCTGTAGACAGGTGCCTAGGAAATGTTATTTAACCTTTATTTAACCAGGAGAGTCCCATTGAGATTAAGAACCTCTTTTGCAAGGGTGACCTGGCCAAGACAGGCAGCAGCATATACAAAAATAAAAAAACACATATAGGTACAGACAAATAACACAGAAGACTAGTAAGGTAACATTTTATAAAATCATTTAGAGTTATTTTCACAATCTAAGAACATTTACATTAAGGCATCTGCCTCTAAGTCTTTCATTTTGGATTTAAAAGCATTTAGCAAGATTAATTAATTCAATGAGTTTCAAGTCCTTTTGCAACATATTCCATGCTGAGGGTGCAGAATACACAGATGCCTTTTTTCCAGTTTCTGTATGGGTATTTGGAACAGAGCATAAAGAAGTCCTAAGAACGCCCGTTACTTTTCTGCATGATAAGACACATAAGTAGCTTGGCAGCAGATCAAGAATTATTTCTTATATATGAAGGTGTATCAGTGACAGAGCCTACGGGTGGCCAGAGGAGACCATCCTACCCCAGAGTATAGCTCACAGTGGTGAGTCAGCGCTTTGCAATTGGTAATGAACCTCATGGAAGCATGGTAAGCTTTGTCAATCATTTGAAGACAACATAAGTTTGGACTTATCTGCATTTAGAACTAATTTCAGCTGCATAAGGATATTTTGGACTTCGATAAACGAATTGATGCACAGCAATATATAACAGTATCATCAGCATAAAAATGAAAATTAGCATTTGACACATTTCGACCCATATTGTTTATATAAATAGTGAATAGAAGTGGACCTAATACAGAGCCCTGTGGTACACCATTATTGACTGATACAGTATTTGAAAACAGACAATGAAAGAAAGTGTGAATTGCCACACACATTGTCTGCATTAAGTTATAATGTTTAACACACACATGCTATAATGTTATAAATTTAACATCTGGGTCGTCTGCAACAACCAAACGAAAAAGGAGTAATTCAATAAATAAAAAAAACATCCTTTAAAATAAACAATGTATTGGCAGATCGATGGAATACAATACAAATATAACTATATAGGATTTTGGGTAGGCACTTCAAAAGAAGTAATCACCATATAACCACAATAAGACCCTTACAATTGGTAGTGACAGCACATACAATATTACACCCCAGGTGTCTCAAACTGTAGAAAGATATTTCAGTTGTGGGAGAGGAAGATATAATTAGACACCAAGTCCATACTACAAATAGGAAAATGTATTCATCAAGCTTAAACATGAATCTGTTCTTTGGAAACGCTTTGCAGCAAAATAAAGTACACACAATTTGTAGTATTGAATGGAATGGAAATAGTGAATGGAAATAGATTACTGCCTGGAAGTTAGGAAAATGTAGTTATCAAGCTTAAACATGAATCTGTTCTTTGGAAACGCTTTGCAGCAAAATAAAGTACACACAAACTTCCAGACAGTAATCTATTTCCATTCATTTCCATACAATATGATAATCAGCTAGCTGAGTCTGTAAGGGATTGTTCTGAAGACTCTACTGGGTTGAAGCGTTCATGTGCTGTGGCAGCCTCCAACATTTAAGTACTTAGGGACAGGTTGCACAACAGCAACAATAAATATGTAAAGCTGCCAAACTTATATGGCCTTTTATTAGGGCTAGGCAATAAAACAATAATGATAATTATTGCAATATAATTTTCTTCAATAATATAAAAAATGTTCAATATATCGTCAATAAATGTTTGACTGAATTTATTTAAATCATGAACAAATTAGCATACATTTTTCTATTAACAAATTTATTTTGTTGAGGAAAAGGGACAGAAAAAAGATTTTATCATAAAAGTTTTGAATGTTCTCCATCAGACTTGTAAAGTGATCCACTGTTTGGCATCAAGTTTTTGTCATGTTCTTACCATAAATAAAAGTTTACCACACAAGTAACCATCTGGTTTCTTCAATTTTCACTCAGGAGCAAAAATCAGCCTTTAAACTTGAAAGAAATAATGATTTGACATTTATTTTGATAATTATCAATATCAAATAGTATGAATTTTTGGCCATTTCGCCACGCCCTACCCTTTATACAACATTTATGTGTGCTTATAATTTGTCTTTTGGCTCTGATGTTCCCACATTCTTCCTGTTTGAAACATAGCCCCAACCCTTTGAAAAGGAATTGCCAAAAATATGTTTATATCTGTCTGACAGAAGCTTTTCTGTTGTAACAGAAAACTCTGTTCCTCTGTAAGGCAGATTAATTGTTGTATTCCTCAAGGGTTCATTGTTGGCCCACTGAGGAGACACTCCCGGACACCGACCCCATGGCAACCTTGACGCCCCGAAGTTCCAGGGGCAGGAAATGGTGCCAATGAGACCCGTCCAACCCTCAATCCCCCGTGTCTGCCTGTGTAAATATATTTTATTGTGTTGGATGCATGTCATGGTTTGTGGAGTGTTGTATGGTGGAGTAGAGATAAGGTGCGTGGTAACTAAGGTGCAGTTAAAATTGGGGGATAGTTGCCAGATTCCTGACAGGCCCCAGCATTCAGCGCCGTCCCCTGCCCCCCTAGGCTAGAAGGACGCCAGGTCCCTCCAGTCCAGGGCTTGTAGCAAAAGCCCCTCTAGCATGCCAGAGCCAGGGGAACCCAGCCTCCCCAGCTCACAGACCTGCCCCACACCCAGAGATCCAAAGCCCCGAACCACAGGCCTTCACACATCCCCCAGGGCAGCTTAGCACAGCTTCAACCCGAAGCCCACCAACCAAGTTTTCACTTGATATGTTTCCCCTCAGTCAGGTGATACAGAGCCATGATGTTCTCTTCCACTGCTACGTGGATGACCCAAAGTTATAGGTTCCACTGCAATCTAACAATTTTAGTCAGTCTTAGTGGCTATAATACATTTTAATATTAACAATGGATCACATGACTACTTATATATTATAGGCGTCACTCGCAGTGAAAAAAAAACACAGATAATTACCACCCCAAAGCTCTACAGGGGATGTTAGTGTCTTTCAGCTCACTGTTTTGGTTCAACAGCCCTCAACTTTACTGTTTTGGTTCGCTCTCACCTGCGTCTTTATCAGCCGCAGCAGGCAGCTGTTTTTAGAAAAAAAGCTCTAACAACCCACTGGCCACTGCTCAGCACCAAATAGCAGCGAGACACAGTTAGTGACCAGCTGGTGAACACAGTGGAGCATTTAGTGGCTAAAGAGCCAGATATTTTTCTCAGGATTTGCTGGAGAGCTAAAAAAAAGAGTAAGTATTGGAAATACATTCATCATCTAATGTTTACACACAAACATGACTCCAAATGAATGCTAACGTTGCGCAGTATCTGCTGGATGTGTAAACAGGAAACTGCTTGCTAACAACTTCACCATATCAACTTAAAAGGTGACGATAGGAGGGGTTTTTGTCTGCAGCGTGTTTCTGCTCAAATGGCCAAACAAACGGTTATTGCAGGTTTATTGATATGATATAACGCTGGATGTTCCAAAAGGTCATAAAATTTAAGGATGACAAATCTGAGGTCAAACGTATTGAACCAGAAATGTCTACCAGACAATTCAGTAGCAAGCTAAGCTGCCTGTCTTAAAAAAACATTAAGCTGACTGCTTGGTGTTATTTTTGTTGCTGACCTTTATGCTGTTGTTTCCTGATTGTGCGGCTCCACCACTTTGGCCATTTTATGTTCTCATCTACTGTTAACATTGTTTTATGATTCTATTTCTTTCTTCTTTTGTTTTTTTTCCCTCGCTTTCTTACTTGGAAAAGTCAACTAATGCTTACATTGCTTTCAATATATAAAAACTTATACTTTATACTTTTTTACTGTACCTGCGGTCATCTCATTAGTCATACCACTATCTGGTGTAGCCTCTTAACAAACCAAAGCAGGCTTCTTGACCTGGTTGAGAACTTTTTTTGTTGCCAGTAGTTGAACTTTGTGGGTAACATACGAAAACTCTTCCACCAGCCTCTGTATCAGCAAAAAGACAATCCCGCTAAAACCTTTATCAACCAACACTTCTGTTTTTCCTTTTTTCTCTGGGTCTCTTTTGTTTTAGTCCCGACAGACCCTCTTCTTTTCATGCTTCTGACACAATGGCACTTTCTCAAAAAAAAAAGAAAATTTGAATCAAGTCTCCCATGGACTTAAATACTTTGATATTAGAAATGTCTTCATAAACAAAGAACATCAACAGCTTACTCAGCCCTTCCTAGTAAAATGCAGTGATTAAATGCCAACAGTGCAAGTGCAAACCAAGAGAATTTTGCCCTCAATCCACCACATTAAATGCAACTTTTCTTTTTCCTTTTTTTTTTTTAATCTACGAGTTCTTCCATGGATTTGTTGTTTCTTTTTCATCCAGTAAGACGGGGCTCCAAACCTCAAAACCCCACTGAGGGAAACTAGTGGTGGAAAAAGTCTTTTGCTTTGATTTGGCCTAGAAAGATCCGTCTGTACCGAGGCCAGGGCTTGTGTGACTGGGACTGCAGTGCACCACTCAGCGCACTGATTCTAGTGCTGTTTTAAAAGTGCTGGCTGGTAGAGACGGGCTGGGAGGGCTCTGTGGGCTTGCAGAACTCTTTATGCTTTCCTGCCCCACTTTCTGACGGTGTTTCTAGTTACCCCCCTGTCTGGGTCTGTGGAACTGAACCAGTCTCACTGTGCTGTGCTACTTTCTCTGTTTAAAGCTCTGAGTGCAGAACTTAAGGCTAACTCTATGCCAGTTTCCCCCTTTTCAAGTAGAACTAGTGTACATATAACAGTTTTCCGATGGCTATAAGAAGTTGGGATTTCCAAGTACACATACTTGTGTGGCATTGCCAAGGTCGTGCAAATGGAATATGATCTGTAGAGGGAAATGCATGAAACCAGAATCAAAAATGTCACTGGAGGAGGCTAGGGCAAAGTAATCTGAGCAGCTGGTGTGCATGTGTGTGTTCTACTTTAAGGCTAAGCCCAACTTCGGGGAAATCAAATGTCTTGCTTTACTTTGTATAGGATGTAATCATAAATAATTTGGCTGCTACTTTACTCTGACATCATCACCTCATTTAAAAAGGAATTTTAAACATGACTAAGCCAACTTTTATACATATACCTACAATGAAACTAAGCAAGAAATACACAGAAGTGCATGGACACAACAGAACCAATGAAGCGAACACTCCATAAGGCCACTGCCATCAATAATAGAAAATGTCTAGGGGTGTGACAAGATCTTGTGCCACCAGATCTTACGATATTAAAATCTACAACCAGCTCGTGTCGATCTGCCGATATGGTTTCACTTCTGAGAGTTTGTTGAAGTGATGAGCTCTTGCTAGCACGACATCTTCGATATGAGGGAATGTGTGTGTCTCTTTTGTCATCGAGGTGTGTGTGGAGCAGCTGCCGAGCTCAGCCTTCGCTGAAACACTTACACTGAGAGGACAGAGGCAGCGTCTGGAAACCCTAAAACATAGCAGCATAGTTTCTCTGTTGATGTGGGCAAAAACGTGTGGGGGGGATCTTTTTAACACAGAATAATAACACAGAAAACATTGCAACCTATGCTCCAAGACGTCAACATAAATATTAAAAAATCTGTATTAATTATATCCTAAAATATAAGAGAAATATAACAGGAAGTATGGATACATTTTTACAAATGTTTGGGTTTGTGCTTGCAGATGAAATGGGTGTGTGGGAGTTAGTATATAATAGAGTGTATGCATGCTGTGATAGGTCAGATGTATTTCTGTATGACTGTACCATCACACCCAGGGGAGTGAGTCTTACCTGGCAGTAAATATGAACTAAGTACACCAGCTCCTTAGACTCATAGCCGTTCCGCGTCACTTCACACTGTTCATCCCCGAGGGACAACTGAAAGACACAGATAGAGAGGAGTCGGCCCATTAGACAAGCATTTATCATTTCAAGAAACATCACAAACTTCACAAACTCTTTGCCAGGTCCATTTTTACATTTTCGTACGTGTAATATGCTATAGCTTTAATGAAGTTCTGGCATAAGATCTAAAATATAGTACATGAGTTCATGTTTTATCAAACAGTGTAGGAAAATCTATTATTAAGAGTGGGGCGGCTGTGGAACAGAGGTAGAGCAGGTTGCCCACTTATCAGAATATCGGCAGGTTCGATCCCCGGCTCATCCAGTCTACATGTCGAACTGTCCTTGTGCAAGATATTGAATCCTGAATTGCTCCCAAAGGCTGTGCCATCGGTGTGTGAGTGTGTGAATGATTAGTTTCTTTCTGATGAGCAGTTGGCATCTTGCAATGGGAGCCTCTGCCATCAGTGTGTGAATGTGACATGCAGTGTAAAGAGCTTTGAGTCATTAGTAGACTAGAAAGGCACTATATGATTACATAATATTACAAGGCAATATATTAAGTTTCACTTTAACAACATCGCCTTTACATCAGCTGTCCAAGATATTATTATTCAAAGGAAACATCTCTAAGACCTACATTTTCCTTTCTAAAATTACTTTCAAGCCCATACAGACAAAACAAGGATGTAAGGCAGCATTAAATCACAGTACTGACTGACCTATACTACATAAAATAAGGGGGCAACACAAAACAACTGAAAGAAAAGGGGGACACATTCAAACACAGTCCACCAACAGAATATTGTTTAAAATAATTATACCCATGAGCTTCAAGTGCTGACCGCCCACTTATTGATGAAACACAGATGAGGAAACAAGCATGGCACAGCTAGCATCTGCTTAGCATAAAAACAGAATCATCTGGACAGCTGTTTTAAGAAAGACGCTCAGTTTGATGTGCCCTCTTCAGAAAGAAAAGGTATATTCAAACCTTCATGTAAAATAAATCAAATTCTGGCTCACATTCTTCTCAAAGACTTGTAATTAACATCTGTTGCCTTTTTGTCTTGTTTATCCTCATAATTATTATTTTATTTTATTATAAAGTTACACCTAAATACAGCTAGACAAAAAAAACCCACATCATTGCTGCGAATGAAGCTATAACTTTTCTTTTCCCTCTCTCTCTCAAAAAAGAAAGAAGAATCTGCATGGACACATTGTATTAAAAATGTATAATGAACCTGGATTACAATTTATTCACCCACATTGCAATTCAGTAGTCCATTTCTGTTATTGTATGCACGTAATCCAAAACCCAAAACAAAAATGACTGAGATAACTATATAGATTAATCACATTAAATGTGTTCCCTTCAGAATTTAATTCCATATTCATCAACACTTCTTATTTTTATTGGATCTTGTTGATAACTTCATCTTAAATGGTGTTATTCTAATCAAAACATTTGACCAGTTTTTAAACAATAGTGGTATCATCCATTCCAAGGACCAGCCTGATCAATGCCACAAGACCCAGAGAGAAAATATTAGCCCGTATTTGATTCAACCCAAGTGCATGAGGGAAATCCCATAAACTCAACCTTGAGCACTTCAAGATACAAATCCCTAAACCCTTTTCCAATGTTCCTATAAAGAGCATTCCCGCAATGCATCCACCAACACCGACTGCCCTCAGTTAATATCATTGTTTCAAATCTTACAGGTGTATAGAAAACTCAACATTTCCATAAACGCAGGTAATGCAAAATATTCCTCATACCCAAATATCACGGGGTCCCAGGTGGTACTCGATTTCCTCTGCTCAAAAGACAGAAAAATCTCCCAGCGTAAAACTCCTTTCTTAATTAATTTCTGCATTATACCACAAGGATGAATACTTTAGCTTAACAGGCGGTATTTTAATTAACCCATGAACTGCTAACCATACAGCTCTGGAGTGGCCATGGATGGGGTTTTTATGTGATGCATGAAATCTGATCCTTTCTTTTCTGAGACAGCACTGAACGGGGTGACCATTTGGTTCTCAAGTTCAACCAAACCTCAATTACAACCCGTGACTTAACGTGTACCCATTCTCACAGGTTCTGCTTTGTCCACGCTTTGTGGACGAGTTCCTGGACCTTAAATCTGGGCACTGCTCAGGAGGTGGTATTAAATCCAAGTCCCAGATCCCCACACCAAACACCACAGGCTAATGAAGCAGGATAATATAAGCACTGCAATGAAGTGTATTTCAATATAAAGGGGATATTGTGATACAGAAGATCTGTCACATGTTTTGCGGTCTTATTCTGCATATGTTTAAATAAACTATAGCTACTAGATAAATTACATTTCCCAGTAATGCCGGTCCTGTCGGCCCATTCTGTTGACCTCCTATGGCAGGTGGGGGCTTTCTATTACTTTACAGATACTGATGTTTAAGAGTCATAAGAGCTCATGTGTAAATGTGAAAGAAAATATTTATTAGCCCACTTTCTCCATTGTTGGCAGTCCCACACTGCCAACAATGCTGCACTCACATCCCAAAAATGACCATGATTGTCCCGAGTGGTGTGTCTATAGAGACAGATCCTGGAACCAAAGCCTTACGGTTTCTTAAACGTTCAGAAAGTTCAACTTATTGAAAAGAGTTAATAGGTAGTTTCAGGTATATTTCATGTATCAATATGAATAACAAAACAATGTGTATGCATAGTTTTGAGCATGACATGTGTCATTTGGTGCTTTTTTTCTCCCTTTAGCACCCCCCAGCGTAATGAGTAGAACATCCTGTGGCAGAGTTTTATGTATTGAGCTGAACACCAGAAGATGATATGATGTTAGCATATGGCCTAGTAGTCAGATGGGGTGAGGTCCAGGTTGGAGGGAGTTGCCATCAGAAACAGTGGTAATGTTGTTCAGTGCTACTGAAGCTCAGCCTGGCAGTACCTGGTGTTCAGGATTGGTTTTCTTAGCGTGACGTCTCTCTCTCCGTTTCTCAGTGCCCCAGAGGCTTGTAAATGTTTGGTACATCTCGGTCCCCCTCTCTCTCACAACTGCATTGATAATGTTTTCCTTTTTTATTCTATTTGTTTCAGCGTTTTAGATTAAATCTGCATCTGTCTGTTCAGACAAAAGAAACATTTTCTGCTTTCACAACAGCAAGCATTAAAACTGAGACTGAAGGTATTTATGTGCTCCGAAAGTCCACTAAACAGATATTGTCTAAGCAATGTCATGGTGCCAGTGAGGGGAGAACAACACATGGAAGTGTTTTTGTTCCCAATAAAGAGGGCTTGATTTGAAGACCGTTTTAATGGAGGGCCAGGGGTAAATAGAGTCTTCAGAGAACAACGTCTTTTTCTGTGGCTGTGTCTCTTTTGAGAGACACAAACTAGTATGACAACAAATGACCTAATTACCTCTCTGTTGTTCCGTATCAGCACTGAGCAACCCAGAAATGTTTTGCACTTCATGCACAAGTAAAAGCCACTCTCTTGACAGAGCAGCCAGCAAAAGCAATAAAAACAAACTTTAGAAGTGATCTCACAGAGGCAGACATTTAAGCAGAGTACAAAAAGGCTTGCTCCCATTTCACTGGCAGGGTTTAAGGGTTGGGACCTATACTTTAGGGAAAAGGATGGCTGGCCAATGAACAACTGTGACTGAGGAGTCGAGAGTAATTGCCTGGGATCACTGCTGTTGCAACAAACAGGCAGACCTAAAGATAATGTAGGAGAACAGACAAAGCATTGCTTTTTTAATACAGGATGCAGCAAAACCCTGTTTTGCTGTAAGACAAGCTAAGAGCAGCATTACAAACACTGTTTGACATGTTTATTATCTGGAATATTTTTGCAATGATGGATTACACCTCTTCAGCTTCTCTATTCACCCCCACGCTCTTCTGTCAAATTTTAGATTGAAATGGATGGATTGCCATGAAATTTGGTACAAGTAATCATGTTTCCCCCAGGTTGAATTGTAATAACGTGATAAAGTTTTTACCTAGTACAATCATCATGTCAAAATCTATCTAATACTTTATGACCAAATACTTGCAAAACTAATGACATTTCCCATAAGCCTCAGTTGTACTTTGTGTTTAAAGTTAATTCGCAAATATTACCATGCTCATATGCTAAACTAAGATGGTAAATATGTTAAACATTATACCTGCCAAACATCTGGATATTACCAGTTCAAAGCAGCTAGTGTGGTTGTAGTTAGTCTTGTTTGACAAACCAAGACCTGAGTTTCCAAATGAAAACCCATCCTCTCACTGCTGTATGTAAGCCAAACATAAAAGCTCTACTCTTAAGCCAGCACATTAAAGGCTCAACGGCGTTCCTGCTATCGAACTGCTATAAGTTAGCTCTCAAGTGATTGGCCACAGGAGCTTATCTGCCATTTTTAAAATCAACCAAACAATTCCATCAGACAATATCTGGCCTAACCTCAACCTATTCAGGACCACCGACACCAGCACACAGTATGAATGATAATGAACCCTTTAATGCTGCTAGAAACGTTGACACAGCAACCATATGGCTGAATTACAGGAAACAGATCAAAACGCACAGCAAAATGGTTGATAAACGTTACAAATATAAGGTACGGACATTGAGGTTCAGCCAAAACATCAGAAAAACTGTGGCAAGAATCAAACTCAGAGTTTGAGTTGAAAGCAATATTTCAGATAACCCAGAGTTATATTTAATCCGGAGGCTCTGAGACCTGACTTTACCTCCAGTGAGCCAAAAATTCTCTCTATAAAATGCTCCTCTCCATAATAATCCTTCAACACAACCACCAGAGGGTGACAGGACATTTTATTTTCTGCAGATAAACAAAGTCCATGCTAGAGCTTTAAATTAATGAATTGTTTACCTGGGTAGTCTACTCACACAGTATATGTATGAACAGAATACCAGCATGTACAGTTCCACTCTTCTGAGGGATTTTGCAGGAAGATACTTGTCATATTGTGAAAATAGAATATGTTTAGACATAATACAGACACAG